AAAGCGACAACCCTCGACGCCTAAGGCTCACTTCCCCTTTACGCTGCGAAGAAAGCCCCGCCTTAGGGCGTCGACCCGTTATGTCGTCGACCCTATGACTTGTGCAAAATCCCCACACCACGGAAGGATCAGCGGCCAGAAGAGGCCACCGCCCACTCAGCGTAGACGTCGAGGGAAGAGCATGGGAGGCGACGCCCGTATCTCCAGAAAGGTGTCTGACAACCAACTTGCGTCTGGCACTCGGAGATGTTTGCAGTGCAAGCATTAATTACAAGCCCTTAAACCGTCCAATAGTGAACGGTGGAGGGTTACAGGGAGTCTACAGAGCCGTAATGGAAGACTAATTAGATGAGTGTACAACTCAAAAGGTGATTAGTGGGCTACGGTCTGCGCCTATGAGGGTAGGCCACTCGAGTGCTTCTGCCTACGAGAAGAACCACCTACGAAGGAACACTTGGCTATAAAAGGGGCAAAGTCCCAAACGAAAAAGGGGTGGATTTTTCCTTTTAGTTTGGCTCATTTCATGTTAAACCTGAGAGCAGAGAGGGAGAGTCATTGTAAAGAATCCAAAAGAAATATAAAGAAAAGTGGATGTAGCTCTTCATTAATAGAGTGAACCACTATAAATCTCGTGACTTTATTCTCACACAAGTACAGTCCTCCCATTATATTTACTACAAACTTCAAACACGCTTTACTACATCATTTTCAATATCAAATAAATGTTTTTTAGCTGTTAACCTGACATGATACCTAAAGGTGACCCGACGTAATCCTGTTGACAAAATTTCACCGTCAACAGTATTATTATTGTGTTACTGATTATATAGTTGTAATGAATTGTAAAGTTGACTAAAAATATATAATCACAATTAATGAGATCATATTTTTATTATGGCTAGCCACTGATGGAATATAATCTTATGTTTTAATACTATTGGAACGTCTAACTTACATTCCATCTTTTTGTTGATATTCAAGTTGTTTCCTTGATGGAGAGAAAAAGGGCGATGTAGCCGAAAGAAAGTGCATGGAAGATGAGAGGAAAATGTTTGTCAAAAGATCGTTGCTATTTTTGAAGTCATGGATCAAATGCATTGGATGCTGCTTTTTTAGACTGTATTTTGTAATGTTGAATGGACAAGAGAATTTAATGAAGTCGCTATAGTTAAGTGTGAAATGATTAAGTTGACAAGAGAATAAATTGAAGACTTATTGAGGTGACATCGTCCCCTCAAAGTTTGTCTAACCAATAGATTTGAGAATATAATTGAATGATTATGCTACTCGAGTATGGAACGGGCCACATCCCATCCTTTCTTACATTAATATACATCCAACTGAAAAAATTTATTAACAAAAATAAAAAAAGGAATTTTCTAAATGAATTACACGTTTCAAAATATTAAATTTTATCAAAATTACGTAATGAAACTTAGCATACGGTGATAGTGATACAAATGTTATGGTTTGAAATATAGTTGCCGTAGAATTGAGTTTTATAAAATATTCTTCAATTCATTGATCTTTTATTTTTTTTAAATGTCTCATATGATGTATGATTTGTTCGATGAAATATGATTTGATAATTTACATCACATTAAAAATACTAATCTTAGATGCTCGTACTAGTGCTCTAGTAGCGTCTATTAGAACCACAAAACTATAAAGGATTATTAAAAAAAAAAAAAAAAAAGGCCCACCAAAGGGAGAAAGAGTCTGATTAATAATATATATATATATATAATTTATTGAATTTATCTTACGTGCAAGACAATGTCCAAACTAAGTTCTGTCAAAGGTAAATTATTCTATGTTCCTTATCCACTATCATCATTAAATATATTCCCTATGGGAAACGAGAAGATGAGAACAAAAAAAAAAAAAAAAACCAGAAAAGAAGAAGAATATAATTTCGTGTAATTCAGGGAATCAATCGGGAAGGTACTACACGTGCCTTCCTTAATCGCTCTAGTGATCATATTAATGACACCTGCTTCATTAGATTTTTTTGCTAATCTTCTGCTTCATAAGATTATTCCACGTTATTGAACCATTCTATTTTTCTCTAGGCAATCCCACTTTTTTTTTTTTTAAAAAAAACACAATACCATTGCTTATGCGACGCGTCTTTAGATCTTTCCAATCTTTTTTTTTTTTTGACTTATTGCTTCCACCTCTGGGAGATGGAAAAAAAAAAAAAACTTGAGAAATAATAACTAAATGATCAGTCATACACGTTTGCCTATAAAAAAAAAGTAATTAGAAAATTCCCATTTTCACCGCCCAAAACATGATATTCATTTTGCACGCATAAAATTTGGTAGAAGTGCAATGCATCTCTTCTCTTTTGGAATATAATATTTTGATTATTAAATAAGGGTTAAAAACGATCTCCACCGTTGAATTGTTAAGTTTCTATCAGATGATATTATCAGCGAAAAGAACCTCATTTTTATGGTCCGTGATCAAGAAAGAGAAACTTTCAACTTTGAAGCATTACGCACACATTGTGTGGGATGCTAATAAAGATAAATATTTTTGGTGTTAAAAGTGTGAAGATGATGAGCTTAAGTTTCTGCCTCTCGTCAAATGTTACTTTCAATTAAAATGGTGTTCGTGGCATTTGTGGCAGCATAGAATATGTACCAGTTTACCAAAGACTTTGGTGAAAGTCTTCTACGTTAACCAAAATTGACTCTCTCTCTCTCTCTCTCTCTCTCTCTGTTAAATTATAAAATTATTATTGACCCACCTCCTAATAGTTTAAACTTTTAGGATGGATTGGTAAACTAACATGATATCAGAGCGGGAGGTCATGAGTTCAAACCCCCGTAATTGCACTCTTTATCCCCATTTAAATTGTCATCACGTGTTCGGTCTTTAATATATATCGAGCTTAAATATTCACGTGTTGGGCTTTCCAATTAATTTACCCACACGATTGCCCATTGTCCAACCCACACGTGAGGGGGAGTGTTAAAGTATAAAACTATTGTTGGCCTACCTCCTAACAGCTTAAGCTTTTAGGATGGATTGGTAAACTAACATCTCTCTCTCTCCAACTATTTTAAGTCTTTCTTTCAATTAGGACCGGTAATATGGGTCACGACACGACAACACGATTCAAAAATGACACACATTTCACGGGTTAGGGTTGAGAAAAAAGAGATTCAGGTCATAATTGGGTCGACCTGAAATTGACACGAAAAACACTGGTCAATTCGAGTTTGACCCGCCTAACCCGAACACAACATGAAACTCATAAAAAACTAAAAAAATACATATATTTTTCATTACATATTTTTGATTTTATTATGAACTTGTGGTATCATGATAGTTATACTCAAAATCTTATATTATTATTTACTTAATTTCAATGGATGTTATTGTATTTTAGTGTGTTATGAATTTTAAATTATTTCTAATATGTAAAAAATTAAATAAAAGTATATAATTTTCATGTGTTCACGGGTCATTTTCGTGTCGTGTCATGTCAACCCGTAAAGTGATCTTGTCGTGTTCGTGTTGCGATTTTTAAAAAATTTTGTGTCACGGGTTGTGTTCGGGTTGACTGTAAATCTAGAAAGAAATGAATAAAACACAATACGAATACGACACGTGACACGAATTGCCACTCCTACTTTTAATGAGATATCTTGTTGTGTAATACTTTAGAAATTAAAAAGGTTTTTAAATAGACACGTTCCTTAAAAAGAAAAGACAAGATATTACAGTTATCCTGTTTCAGCACTTAGTAATTGTTTGTAAACTAGTAAATTTTCATAAATGTTTAATTTTTCTTTAAAAAAAACTTTGGTTTCTTGTTTTGTAATAATGTCAATAAACTTATATTTCTTTGGGTAAAAGGTTCTACACTGTAAGTTATAACTAAAACTGTTTAAACCAAAAAAAAGGGAAGAGTTATAACTAAGCAATGCTTTATGTATTATTAAGTGTTGCATTATGTATAACCAATCAAGTCTTTCATGTGATAACAATATCTTAATAGAATATTTCATGGTAGATATAAAACAATACATTATCCTATAGGTACAATTCTATTTTTAACATCAAATACGTATTAGATTATGTTACCTTGTAAACTTTTTAATGTTGACGTGATTTTGACCTAACATTCAAAAATACATACTAATAACGGGGATGCGGTTAAACACTAATATAGCAAAAAATTAGAACCGTAAGACTAAATTATCACTCTAGATTTACAAACGAAAATTAAACCACCAAGTTGTACCAACTAAAGCAACAAAAAGAAAAAGAAAAAAATAAAAAAAAGAAAGAAAGGAAACATAGAGCACGAATTAAGCCCTAAAAAACGATTCGTTTCTTTAGAAAAAAATTTTACTGGTAAAGAATACTGTTTTGTCTTATTATACAACAAATGATATTCAAAATTTAATTAGTACATTCTCGTCCATAAAATATAAATTAGATCTTTAAAATTTAATCAAATGGTTAAACAAATTTACTATGTTAGTAGATGAAAAAAACGTGTTTATAATCCAAAAAATAAACGTCATATTTTTTTTTAAAAAAAAAAATCCCAAGAGTTAAACCAAAGTTGGAGTCTTGGGGAAATAATTTTCAATAATTGGAGTCTACAAAAGATATTTCTCATGAGATCATGGGATTCACAGCTTATTACGATATCAAATTTTTTTTAAAGTCCGAAAATTACAGGCTGACATAATTTACACGTGTCATAACTTGAACCGCACGTACAAGCAATGATTGGATTGAAATCAACAATGTCAGCAAATTTAGACGCTAATTCAACCCTTTATTTTACAAAACCAAGCTTTGATTACGGCCAGTTTTTGCTCAATGCATGCACGACCACAGTAAGACGTCCGAGTTTCGCACAATCAGAGCCGCTCGATCGAAAAAATCGAAAAGAAAAAGGTTTCGCTTTATAAATGCAGAACCGGACGAGCGTGTTGTCAGTTTTGGTTGGTTTTTTACAGTAGAGGGAGAAAATGAGATAGAAGAGAGAGAGAGAGAGAGAGCGCGAGTGGAAGAGCAGATGATGAAGAGAGAGCGAGAGAAATAAGGATGGAAAGTTAGGGTTTCGAACCCGTTTGGATTCTTGTAGTATTTTGATCGGAATTTTCTCTCTCCGGCAATAAATTTTGCTCTTCTTTTTTCATTTCTCCCAGTGACATCACCGTTATCTGGAGAATTTCAGATATTTTTTTGGTTCTCTTTTGGTTCCGGTGACGAGAGATGAAATTCAAAGTTTGATCCTTTAACGTCTCGAATATTTCCTATTTTGGCCTCAAGGTTGTTACTCATTCCAATCGAAGTTTTCTTCTTTCATTTTTTTTTTCTTTTTTTGCAAATTTTGCATTTTGGAAAGTAAAAGAACTAGTTGAGAAGTGGGTGTTTGAAAATTTAGAACTAAAATATTTTGGCAAGAAATGAGAAAAAATGATTTTTTTTTTCTTTTTTTTTTGGTTTGGTTTGCCATTATTGAGTTTCTTTGAACATTTCTGAATGTCCTGGTACCTTGAGTCCTTTCAGTGGAATCTGAACAGAAGAATTCTAAGTAAAGATTAGAAAGTGATGTATTTTATCTTCAAGTGGTGTTTTATCTTTGTTTTCAAGAAGTTATCATGAAATTATTCACAGAAGTTCATGAGATATCATATAAAAGCACTGGACTTTCTCACCCACAAATTTAATGCTTTGTTCTGATATGTGAAGGTGGAAAACTGAACATTTTGAAATTTCAAACTGTTTTATTTTTTTTATTTTACTTTTTGGGTTTTCACCAAGTTATTATTGAGATTAATGGGTGTTGTTTGATTTAGATTGTGCTTAATTGCATATATTCCCGTTTTCATTTTGATCATTTCCTAACATAAGTGGTAACTGCAACAGGCAGAAACCACGTCTCAACTCTTTGTACTCCACGATTCTTTGTCCTCAAATACAAGTTTGTGGTTTATTATCATCATCAATCATCAATCATCAATCATCAATGGCCGTCTCTTTCACCCGTTTTTCATGGTGCTTGTGGGCTGGCAAAGATAAAGAGCCAATCCCCAATGGGTCTTCCATAAACTCTTCATTCGAGTGTGGTTTTGGCGTGAACCAACCTGAAACAGTACAGTTGTTCCCTTCTGTTAGAGGGAACAAGAAGAAGATAGCCTCGTCGACTAGGAAGGTCAAGAGGAAACGGCAGAGCAGGGAGGAGAGGAGGATGGAGAGGAGAGACTGTGATTTTGTGATGGTTTCATCGGACGGCGGCTGTTCTTCGGGCTCCGAATCCGACGGCTTCGACATGTCCATTGGCTGGATTGAGCCTCACGACCCTGGTTTTCAGACTGGTGGTAACGATGATGACAATGGTTTTGCTGTACTTGTCCCTTGCTATGGCCCTGGTTGCAAGGAGCTTGTTGCGGGGTCCAATAGTGCCATTTTTAGAGCTTTCAAGAACCTCCCAATTGAGTTCTCTCCTGGTAATAGATTTTTCCTTTGTTTCTTTCGTGCAATTAACTGTGTTTTGATGTTATGTCATTCTGCTCTGTGTGTACCATTTTTATGTTATGTTGTGTCTGTTTTGTCCTCCTTATTCCTTAAGCTATTTTAGGGGAAAATTTGTCTTCTTTCACCTGGTTTCTTGATTTTGGGATAATGAAGTTGAACCTTTATTTCAATTCTTAAGAGCTTTTATTTTGTCCTCCTTAATTCTTAAGCTATTTTAGGAGGAAATTTAAGTGTTCCTGCAGCTGGTTACTGGATAATGAAGTTGAATCTTTATTTCAATTCCTTAAGAGCTTTTATTTTGTCCTCCTTAATTCTTAAGCCATTTTGGGAGGAAACTTTTCAGGTGGTTACTTGATAATGAAGTTGAATCTTTATTTCAATTCGCAAGAGCTTCTATTTTTGTTCTTTATTGCTGTTTGTACTATAACGCAAAACAGTTTGTGCTTAATTTTCCAATTTAATGTTGGTTGTTGCAAGTGTCCTCGCTATAAGAATTGGAGTTTGGGTTCAATCAGTTTGTTTATGGGATCCTAAATTGCCCTTTTGATCTTAACCTTCAGAATGCCTTTGTTACTTCAATATGGTAAAGTAGAAATGCACTGTGCTTTTGCATAATTATGGCGAATGGGATGATAATATTAGGGAAAAGTGAAAGACATCAGAGTTAAGCTTGTCCTTTCTTCAAAACATACCAATTTTTGTGATACTCATTACTATATTTCTTTCCTTACATGTCTTTCTGTTGCATTGACGACATTGATAATGGAAAATGTTTTGTCTGTTTCTATATCCCTATACTGAGACATGTCATCAAGTACTGAGTTATCTTATTACTATTATTTGTTGAATATGCAGATTGCAAGAATTACATGGAACAAGTGCTGTCTTCTGCTTTGGTGCCCATGGGGAATTGATCTTTCTTATTGGTAGCCCTTTGTGGAGAAATCTGTTAGCTTTTAGTATTACTAAAGTAAATAAATTTAGTGAGGGAATTTCAGAATAGAAGACACTGTTCGACCGTGCAGTTGTCAGACTTGGTGACAATTTCAAATTTTCAATACAGTTGAGATAACAGTCATTTAATCTAGATTTACTCGGAAGGCAATGTTTTTCAGCTCATGCTGTATTCTGTTATATTATAATATTGGGATTCTTTATTTGTAAATACAACTTTTTATGAACTTTTGATCATGCTTTTAATGCTTTTAGTTCACTACTGCTGTAAATAAACTCCCTCCTTTTATAGTTAATTAAGGGCCAATCTCTTTCTTGAATTATTATTCTGATCACCTTATGACTTAATGTGACTTGTTTAGAATGGCTGCAAAACACGGGCAAAGTTTTTAGTCCGGAAGCCGTACACTTGGGACGAATATATATATATATATATATATATATATATATATATATATTCGCGTAATATTGTTCGCAAAATGTGTAACATTCAGTGTGTGTAGTGCTTAATATTGCATGTGTTCGATTAAGGTGATTAATTGGTTTATAAGTTCAAAATAATAATTTATAATTTTAATTTTTAAAATTTAAATATTTTGTGAGAGAAAAATACTATAATAGAATTATAAACTATGATATTAAAAGATGCAAAATTTTTAAAACAAACGTCATTTAAATTTTTTTAATATTACACTCGAGCGAGCTGAGTGTTACACATTTACAAAAAAAAGATGTTACTATAAGAAAAGTTACATTTACAGAATTGATACGGCTGTCGGACTTAAGATATTTCTTAAGATATTTTTTAAGATTGAGTAGAAATAAAAGTTCTGGTCACCCAGTATGGTCCGGGCATGACAGCCCGAATGGGAATTAGGCCCGGATTGGCTCGGCCTATTATTTTTCTCGAGATAAGTCGGGCCGGCCTTAAAAAGAAGAGGGTCGGAACAATCTTAAAGCCCAATGCGTCTAGGTCATCTCTGCCCGACCCAAATTTACAATGTATTTTTAAACAAAAATTTTAAAAAGATGTGTTTGGGTTGAGCTTGTTAGCAAAAATATGGAAAATACAAAGAAGAACAATATATAACAACTTATTGCAAGAACAAAATATAGAAATTATTACAACACAAATTCAAACTTTCTACCAAACTTGAAAAACAAATTGTAAGGATGTTGAGGTATGTGAACCACGCTTTTCTTAAAACAGATTTGTCTCCTCCGGCAAGTGCTTAAGGTAACGTTAGACGTCCGTTTCTCAGGATACAATGACAACGACAGTAGCTCGAAACACTATCAGAACCGTCCGGCGAACTAGAACTTGGATCTTCCCTCTATTACCAAAACCGAACTACAAAAGAAAACGCACAAAGAACTCGAAAAACAAGAGAGAACATAGAGAGAGGAGAAGAGAATTTGGAAAAGTGTGTCCTCCCTCATGTGGTGCATGGCTTATATAGGCTCTTGAAAAGAGGTTACAAAGCATGGCACTATGAGGCTTAAACACACATCTTAATAGTGCAAAACGTGCATGAGGAACCTAGCCACAATTTCATAGTAAGTTTGAATTTTGATGAAGGCAAAACTGATGCCATAACCGGCCATTAAGCATACCATTAAGCCCCCTTTAATCACCATTAAGTTCCAAATGGTTTTGGCTGAATGCGGAAGGTCTTGGGCCGAATCAAAAAATAAAATTTGCAAAACAAAGCTTGCGCGGAGGGGATTTTTTGGTCCAACATTCGTGTCCACAGGTCGCGGATGCACATATTGGGCCCCTAACCCGCTGGGACCGTGAGTCACAAATGTGGGATTTTTACAATTTCTAACTACCTTAACCACTTCAAGTGACATACTTAGAGCATCAATTTCTCATTCACCCAATATCCATTTTGAGTGTATGAATAATCGATTTCTATCTTCTCGTGATGGAGAATTCAAATCCATCGAGACCCGTCATAAAAACTAATTGGGCCCCTTTAATATGGTTTAATAAGTCATTTTCTAACAGGGCTGCGCCGGCTCAAATAAGGCTTGAGTTTGAAACTTAGGCTCGGTTCAGTTTGAATATTTAAATGGGTTAGGACTGAGTCAATAGTGTCAAATCTTAGACTAATTTATTTAACTCGGTCCAAACTTATAGCTTTAAGATTGAGATATGTTTTTGCAATTCTGTTACCATCTTCTTTTCAATTATGGGGCTCAGGGAGTTAAACAGGATACCTTGTACTTGAATTGAATTTAGGGGTGACATTTCAAATGGACAACTTGATTTGAATTGACCTAAATTGATGATACAAATTGTGATATTAGAAAAGTTATGTATAAGTTTATGGTTTAACTTCACAAAGTGTAAATAAATGAGTAAAATAATACTCAATTTGTTTTTTTTTTTTATCTGATACTCAATTTGTTTATTTCGTTGTGCCTGACTATACAAATCTGAATTAGGCAAAAAAAAAAACAAAAAAAAAGCCAAAACGAAGACGACCCAAATAATCACTCTTAATTTGGATATCTAATCCGTGCAGTTGTTTTTGGTCATACAAAAATGACTAGCAAAGGAACGCCTCAAATTTTATTCTTGGCAAGTACATTTTGTCTTGGACAATGAGTGAGTATCTTGTTCTTGTGAATATTGGTAAATTATCCATTTCTCCTAGGATGGAATCTAGGTGAATCCCACGTTGATCGACCTTTAATATTCCACGTTAGCAATATTTTTGTTTTTTTTGTTTTTTTTCATTTTGAAGAGTGACAAATGGGTGTGGCTGAAATTTATCCAACTCTTTTTGTCTTGTCTGAGGCCTGCAAAATAGGTGCTGCAAACATAGAGAGGTCCAATGGAAGAAAATAAATCATGATGCCCCTTTGTTTAGTGAGCCAGAAGTGGACCGCATCAGTGCTTTTTGCTCTAGAGTGTTTCTAATCGAGGGCTATTGATGAAATCAATCTGTGTTTGAAATTAATTTTAAAATAATTTTATTTTTAATAAAAAATAAAATTAAGATGATTTTGAGACGAATTTTAAAATTACGTTTTGTTAATTTTTTAAAAGATAATTTTAAATATAATAAAGAAATAAAATTATATTTATTAATTAATATATTATAATATTATTAATAAATATTAAAAAATAAAAATAAAAAAGTGAAAATAATTTTTAATTATTTTCTAGTTCTTTTAAAAAATTATTCTTACTGTTTTTATTTTCAAAATATTTGTTAAACAAATATTGTTTCAATTTTATTTTCATTTTTTGCTTTTTAAAATACGTGAAAACCGTTTTAAAAAATGGTTTCAAACATGCACAATGTTTTAGTGATGGGCTTTTTTTTTTTTTTTTTTTTTTAAAGTAATTTCATTCCAAATTAGAACATAAACACTAATATTGACTCAAATGACCTCGTGATAAAAAAATATAATCCCGATCATAAATTGAATCCACCAATAAATTCTAATGAAATGCACATAAAGATAAAACGCACATTGAGTTCTAACAACAAAAAATTGAAAGAGTGCACACACCACTGAACACACATAAAACTCTTTAAATAACACATCTATAATCGATGGATAACTCCAATCGATCAAGACCACAAGATCCGTAGCATGTATGTCTTCCACAACATTGCAAAGAAAATATTAACTGATTGAAACATAATTGGAAAGTAAGGAGACCAGATCCGTTATTAAAGAAACAATACAACCCAAAAACAAGACACAACAACTATACGGTGGAACTAATATCGCCTTTATTTTCAACAAATACCTATTTAATTAGTATAAGTCCTTATTATGATCATACAAAATTTAGTTTTTGAATTATAGGTTAAATTGTACTTGTGTCTTTTTTTACTATTGTATCCAAATACGTAAGGTACGAAATTATCTCTCACTAAACTGTATAAGGTCCTTAAGTGCCTTTTTCGTTGAGATTTTCACAATCGACTGTTGGATAAAAAAATTAATTTTAGATATTTTGATATATCAAAATTATTGGTCAGTAACTATAAATGATAGGTTAAGTCTCTAAGCAGCCGGATTAGAAATGGTACTTACACGTACAAATCAATCCAAATGAATAAAGAATGTAGCAATCGTTGTTGTTGATTGGCTAGATAATTGCGTTTTGGAGAAGCAGTAGGTTATACTCATAGCCTAAACAGGGAGCGATTATTTGTTTTGTGTTTTTATTTTTTATGTGTTTTCTTTACTGTAATAAATTGGAGTTTTCATTCCGCTATTTTAGGAGACGTTTGATTCATGAATTAAAATCATATGATTAAAATCATTTTCGATTTACGTATATTTTTGTGAGAGAAAATACTGTAGCGAACCATGAACCATAATTCAAATCATAGTTTGAATCCTCCAACCAAATGTCCCCTTAGTTTGTTCTTAGTGTTTGCTAGACCGGCATCTTGGCCGGTTTTGTTGTAGTGTTACGATAATTTGTTTCTCAATCACACAAAAATTTATCTTAATGTGAGGAGTTTTATCAAATAAAAATTTAGGTGTGCTTAGACTTCAGGCATACATCCGTCCTTTTGTTAGATCATTAACTTTATAACCTTGTATTGTGGTGTTTGTTCCTTTGTTTTTATTTAAATGCAAGTTCCCTTTAAAAAAAATGTAACACACCCGATAAATGTCATGGTAACTTGCCTACTATACTGTAATGTGCAGACTAGTCATATATGTAACCCTAATTAATTTTGTATGTAACACAGTTATTGGAGTCTTTAAAGAGGGCAAGTGACAAAATTCAAACCACCTGTTCATTTAGAAGCACAATGGCTTGTGCAATAAAGCTACAATTATTTTTTCAAACATCACATGTAACTGGACGGAAATTTGGATGTTGGTCAAAAATCATAAACTATGTTATATCGACCATGATGGACTGGCACGTGAATATAATTTTTTTCATTTTTAATTAGTTGAAATATGTTGTTAGGATTATTAGTTGGCAAATTTATTGGCAAAAGGTTATAAATTCAAAAACAAAATCAGCAATATTGTGGACTACTATGGAGACTCTATTTTTAGCTACTTGCACCGGATCTGGGATGATTTACTCAATAAAAGGAAATAAGTTTATGGAGCTAATTTGGTTGACTTTTGGTGGCTAATTGATGTAGTGCGTATAGAAAGAATATGAGGAGAAAATGTGCACATATGAAAAAGTGATTTGCTGAATAATTGATTTGAAGAGATTTGAAGTTAATTTAGAGTGTAAATGGTATTGATCTTCGT